TATTAAATAATACTACATAATCCCAAAATATCTTTAATAATACTAACACTAATTAGAAGAATGGATCTTGAAGCAATGATAAAGTTATCTCTATGTGGCATATAAAGTTATTTGGATTCGAGCCGCAGAATTATCCACCGACACTTGCGTCTGGATGGACTGCCTATAACATCACACTCCTCTGCAAAGGCGGGGCGGGCCAAAATTTGAAATTTATGAGTTTGGAGCTTTAGTCACTTTAAGTTAATGAATTCTAAATTGATAATTCATCGAATTTCTTAAGACACATAAAAAATTTGAACCAAAAATTATCGGGTTCGCCCGAACTCGTAACTTGTACATTGCCTCTGCCCCTGCTCTCATAAAGTATAGCCTTTTCTCGTATCCTGCGTGAATAGAAAATGCTTGTGCATTGAATTGCTCTAAACAGTTAATTAAGGGGCCTTCTTTTAGTATTGTTTAATTTCTATACCCTAATAAAAACTCCACTATGATTACTGAAATCCTAACCACCATCAATAATCATTATTTAATGGAGTAATTGCTAATTAGTTTTTTTTCTATTAATTTATTTGTGTTGGCGATTCTTCTTATATCTCTTTTAATGACAAAATCTTATGAACTAATACTTTTATAATATACTCCCCAGCCAGCAAATTAAATACAATTGGACGTTAAACCGCATGCTTAACAGTTGCTTATTAATTATTTTATTTAATAATTAAAAAAATGATTTGGCCGTTAGGATATGTTATGGATATTGTGTTTGTGAAAGTCTGAAAGAGTAGTAGTTGAATGATTAAACCTCTCAAACAGCTTAGTGTAGACCTCTGTGACCTATAATTTGATTTTTGTAGTAATTTGATGGTAAGTTCAACCCCTGAAACGTAATTATAATTACCATATATAAAAATGGTAACTTAGCAAATGAAGTTCATTGAGTAATTGTTTCAAAGCTATATAAGGTATACTTAAATACCTCATATAAATTAATTTTTGATACTAATTATATATATATATTACTTATCCATATATTAATTTGTAAAAGAAGTTTATTTAACTATGTAATTATACTAGTCCAATCAAATATGACATTGAGAATTGTACTGTAATTACATTGTGACAAACAAACAGATCATTATAATTATTATATTTTTTAGTAGTCCCATTATCAATTTTTTTCTCGCTCTCCTATTTATTGAAAAAGTTACAACAAATAGAAATGCCACGAGCTGCATTTGTTTTCTTTCTTTTCTCTTTAAGAAAATATATCACCCACATGTTTTAATTGATGGTGATAATTAATTTTTTTAAGGATATAATGATCATAAAAATTACACTAAGAGGATTTCTTTCCCATAAAATAAAAAATAAAAAAAAGAAGTTTCCATGTGTGTTCCCTATTTTCTTATAACAAAATAAAATTGGGTGAGATCTTTCAGGTTCTAAATCAAGAAATGTATTATTATTGAAGACACCCGATCATGGAAGAGATCCTAAATAGGAAATGATTTTTCGAATATCTTTTTGAACTATATGCTAATAGTTATTAATCATCTGTTTTATTTTATATAATATCTTTGATTTTTAGTTTATTTGAAATAGATTGACATGTTTTTAAATTTAGAAACTTTTGACAACTTTTCGTTTACTTTTAATGTCATGTTCTTATAAATATATGTAGAAAAGTATGATATGTTTAATATCGCAAATTTTAGGGGCACTTTTGGCATGTGTTAAAAGTTTTTTTCTTAAAATTTCATACTTTTTTAGATAATGTCATATAAAATGAAACTAGTGAAATATTTAATACCTAAGTTAAAAAAAAATAAAAACTTCTTTTTAACTTTTTTTTTTGGATTTTAATGATGTTGGTATTGTACCTTATAAATTTGAATTTGCATCGGAAAGTCCCAACTTGAAGTTAAAACGTCCTACAACAAAGGCGATTCTATATTTAAGATTAAAAGTTGAAATTTCTAATTAAAGATAAAGAAGTATTTATCACTATACGATAATGCCGACGAATCTAAATTTGGAAGGAGTGCAGAAAAAACCAGGTGGCATGAGAATAGGTGCTAGGGATGAATCTGATAGCTGGATCAAAGCTGTTAATACAATGAGCAAAAGGAATTGAATGAATGAGTTGTCAATGTCGTAGTTGTATAAGTCTTTAGTAGTCATATTCTTTGATAGCCATTATGTTTTTTTTCATTTTTTTTTCTTTTCCCCATTTGTTTTTGAATGAAAGCAACAACTTTGGCTTTGCTAAGAAAGTAAAAAAGTAAACTATCTGACTTGATGGGCTACATCACTTCATGGGAAATTCACGTAGGTGTTCATCGTAAAAATTACAGTCAGATGCATAAAGCATATTGTATTTTTGCAAGATTTGAAAAAGGATCGCATCGTAAAAATGTTGTATAAACAACTTACCCTCACACAAGCGGTAAGTACTTTGATTTCACATCTCGAATCCATACCCTATAGGTAATATAGAGACTAACATTATCGTTACTTCAAGGCTCCCTCACAGTTGTTAATCATAATCATAAAGAAAAGCCTAAAGAAAAAACAAACTTGTTACAACATACGATTGTCTCGTACAAATATTAAACATCATGAGACAATCAATAGTAATGTATTTTGACGAGTGAGGCTTGGAATTTGGATTGTAGTTTGTGAATAAAAGTGATGTATTATGTATGGTTTTCTTCTCTTTTATTTAAAGAACGTAAAAAACTACTCTCTTTGTCCATTTTAAGTGAAAGTGTTAATTATTTTCTTTTATTAATTTGTTGAAAATAACACATTACTATTGAATAACACTTTAATCATTTTTAATAAAAAAACACTATAATCTTAAATATTCAGTTTATCTAACGTTATGCTTTTACAGGCAAAAAAATCTAATTGTATTTATAAAATCAAGAATTTTTCTTTCTGAAATTTCGTACAAGTCAAACTACGAGATATAAATTGAAACAAAAAGATATATTATTTTAACTCGAATACAGTTTCGGAGTAATTAAATATAAGGGGTAAAAAAATGTAAAAAAAAAAAAAGGCAGTATACTAAAGTAAATCTGTAAATTATTAAAATAAAGTAGGATTAACTTATATTATTGATAGTTTAATTACTCATAATAATTACTCTTAAGAACTTTCGTCAGTTGAGGCAGAAGGTTCCTAAGTAGAGAGCAGAAATGAAGAATCAAATCGAGGCAACGCGTTTTAAAATGAACCACAGAATGATTAAAGCATCTGTCACTTTTTTAGCACAGAATTTGTCTCTTGGTTTAATTAGGACCCCAATTTTTATGGTACGAAATAATATCCACCATAAAATGACTCAAAATTTTGTTTTAATTGCACACTACATGCTGGTATAAAGGAAAAGGTTAGGTTACGGGATCGAGCCCTAATATTAGTCACTGATGTTTTGTATCACGGTAAGTTATATATATCATACTAGTTGGGGAGCTACCTTATAAGAAGCGTTCGTGAGAAAAATATACTGGGTAGGTAGGTAAAAAAATAAATTATATGTATATATATTATGTATTGACTCCCCTTAAGTTCCCGGTATGTTTACTTTTATATATTTTGACACCCCTTAACGAAAATTCTGGCTCCGCCACTATATCATACCCTCTTCGAATGCGGCAATTTCTTGGATCCTATGCGAACACAAGATTCTTTATGCACCAAGCTTCCCTTTGCTCGCTTTGAACAATTATTGCATAACGCTTATTAAAGAGAATCGTTTCTTATCAAAGATTTTTTTTTCTAATTTTGAACTCAAAATTTTTGACTAAGGGTGAAAAAATCTCATTCATCCCACTCATTCGGAGTCTTTTAATTGTTACTCCCTCCGGTTTACAATAAGTGACCAATTTGTTTTTAGCACGTCCATTAAGAAAATATTAAATTCTATACAAAAATACCTACTATGGCTAAACTACCCCTAATTAAACATTTAATGTGAGGAGTAAGAAAACATTTTAGAAATATGTATATAGGAATTATTTTGTAAAAACAAATTGAATTCTTTCTTGATTACATAACTGGACACTTATTTTGAACCAAAATAAAAAAGCAAATTGGTCACTTATTGTGAAACTGGGGAATAGTTGCGGCTAGTACGGAGCAAAAGACTACTATATGTGGAGTTGGTTCAAGCATCTATTTCCAAGGTTTTGTATTTACTTCTAACTCATTGACTAACTCCTAAAGTAATCACCACGTTACTTGAATATTTAGTATACTCTACCACTTACCATTAAACATAGTGATTACCATTAATATATAAGTACCGTCAACTAAAATTAATATTGATTTGTTCTTCATACCAATATTTAATTTCTTGATATGTGTTTAACCCCGAATATGCTATGGAATACATACAAAGGTTAAGATTGACTTAGAGTTTAGTTTACGAAAATAACCACAAATTAAACCAAGATGCAAGAAATTAAAGGGAAAAAACGACGGCCGGTTCTCCAAATCTCCGAAGAAATAATATATGGCAAAGATCACTTTTAGTATGCGACCAAAATTATTTACATTAGATAGCTGCAATAGTATATAAAATATATATATAGTTTTAAAAAATATGTAGGTAATACAAAAACTATATGGGTAACAGTGTTTAAAAATCATTGAAGAATAGGTATGGATTTAGGTTAAGGTAACAAATGTAAATTTAAACTATCCACCAACCATTGTATCATATTCACTATTTTCAACCCCATGTTATGTTATATTTTGTTTGTTATATATAAGTGAGAAACTTAAAAACCATATATAAATATAATAAAACAAGAGATTAAGTTATGCATTAATGGGGCCAAAAAAAAGTTCAATCACATCACTTATAACATAATTATATGTAAATATCTATGATAAATACTATTATACTAATAGTTAATCTAATAAAATAGTAATTAATCTGCTATACTACATTAACTTACACAGTTACACTTAATCGGGCCAGTAAATATCGAATACGTAGTATATATTTATTAGAAGAAAAAAAATACAAAGATGAGGAAGAAGGAGGAATCAACTAATTAAAAATAAATTATGTGATAGTCTTTTCACCATATAAAAAAGAAGATGGGATCTATAGCTGTAAAAATGCCATTGCAAACTGGCCAAAAAGTACTACTTGAGATGCAAGAAACGTATATAGTTTTCAGCCCTTTGATCCTAAAGCAAAACTACAAAAAGTGTAAATTAAAAAAAAATGACAAAAAAAAACACACCATTTTAATCCTCTAATGTTGCCATAGAAAACTCTCAAAACTGTTGGAAACCACAGCTTCTAATCCCGTATTAAATCCCATATTAATATTCTCTCCACCAAAATAATATTCACAATTAGTACCATAATAATCCCACCAATCTGATTCAATGAACCTTAATACTTCTTGAGTTGACTCAACCGAGTCGTAACTCGTGTCCAGCTTCGGCAACTTCACTATCTCACTCAGCTCCTCATGCTGCGGCGCCAACATAGCCGCAGCCGGAGGCGGAGGCGGAATTTCCGCCTCCAACTCTGCTGGTGTCGACTCGTCGTCGCACAACGACGAAGATGTAATGCCAGAAACTAAAGACAACGAAGATGAGGATGACGTCATCGACGCTTCCGACGCTGCCGGCGAAGATTCCGTTGGGTTGAGATGATCCATGTGAGCGGCTTTTACGGCGGCAGCTTGGACGTCACGTGGAGAGCACGTGGCCGGTCGAGGCAATAAATCGGCGAGTTGAGGGAAATTAAGGATCGCGGATCCACCTTTAATGGACATAGCAGCGACGTCGTGTGCACGCGCCGCCATTTCAGGGGTGGCGAAAGTACCTAACCAGATTCTTGATTTCTTCTTCGGTTCACGAATTTCAGACACCCATTTTCCCCACGCCCTCTTTCGTACACCAACGTACGACGGGTGTTTTGATCCGTCGCTGGTTTTGTTGCCACCATTTTTCTTACTGCTATTACTACACTTACTCACATTTGTTTGACCATCATTTTCTTCTTCTTCTTCACGGCATCTCTTGAGTCGGTTTTTCGAGTTGATATTCTTTATAAGAACAGAAGAAGATGAAATTGTAGAAGAAAGTGAACAAGAGTTATAACTACTAGATTCAGATTCTGAGTTTGGTGTTGTTGGCTCAGCCATTGATGCTNAGAATGAAGACGAAAGAATGGGAAAGGTGAGGTTTTTCTTTAAAATAACTTTTATACACTCCTTTGATTGTACACAATAATAGCAATGAATGTGAGTAGTGTCATACTTCTCATCTATTTTAATGTGAATTTAAGTTATGTATATTGATAGTGTAAAGATCTTTTAGCAAGTTATTAATTATTTTTGTTAAGTTATTAATTACACTATTTTTTTAGTTTATTTTAATTAATTTTTTTATTATTTTGCACATATTAACCAATTTGTCTTTTAGTATTAATTAATAATAAAATTGATCATATTAAATTTAATTTGATTATCGAAAATATAATAAATTCTCATAGGTGTAAGAAATTCTTACACTTTTAATATATTTTAACCTTTTATAGAAGATTATATTGTTTCTCTTTTTTAATGGTTTAAGTTATGCATATAGTGGGTGTAAAAAAATTTCTTACACTATCAACATATTTTAATCTTTTTCTTATTTTTATTGTAACAATTAATGTTCAGAACATAGAACTTATATTCTTATAAAAATTACTTCTAATTATTTTATAAGTAATTTAGTTATGTAAATTTTATGCCGTTAACGCAAATATAGTAGAATGAATAGAATTTCACCATTAGCTAAATATCTCGAATCCTAACTGTTGTGGTTATGTGTTTCTCGGAAACAACCTTATTGGAAACAACCTCTCTACGTTCACAAAGTAGAGGTAAAGTTTACGTGCACACCACTCTTCTCATATTTTATTTGTGGGATTATACTGAATGTGTTATTGTTGTTATCCCTAAATATTTCAGATTCGAACCCTAAAAATCAAAAAAAATCTTAATATAATACTTCTCCCACAAATAGGACCTACATAATACAATTATAAATTAATCAGATCAGCAGGATATCAAATAGTCAAACAAAAAAATCTATGTGTAGAAAGAAAGAAAGAGAGACTGAGGGGAGACAAGGAAAGGCCTCACAACCGACCGAAGCCTTTACCCATCAAATCCTTAATTACGGAGCACACAACCAGAGAACACAGAGTGAAACTAATACATAGAATCTAATAATTAAATATTAATAATCTATTAATCAAATACTATACTAAAATTCAGAGACATGGTGCGAAAAGGGAAGGAGACTTGAATGAGAAGCATTAAAACAAGGCGTGGGGGGTGGGGTGGGGTGGGAAAGAGGATCTATTTTTAATAATAACATTAAGTGGGAACAAAAATTAATTATTACTAGTAATAATAATTTAGAAGCCTAAGATGTACTTAGGAATTGGAGAAGAGTTAAGCCTAGATTTATTTACGGGCTCAAAAGGTCAAAGCAGTACTTCTTAGTAGTGCTTTTTCTTCATTCCTAGGAATTTGTATTACCACCGGGGTTGAGTTTTGAAAATAGTCCCTTTTAAATGAAAATAAAAAAGGGCAGTCTGCGGTATAAAACATTTCGTGTCTATATAGGGCCTGGAAAAGGGTCGTAAGTGTGTGATGTAGACAACTTATCCTAATGCAAAAGTGTTGAGTGTTAAGATTTTGATGATTAACAAAGTTTGTTTAGATGCAATGTTAGAAGAACCAGGTCATCAACGTAGCTGCTTAACTGTTCTAAGAACTAGCTCCTCAGGTTGATGATTGTACGTCTGTGCAAGACAGTAACTTTATCTCAAAGTTATCCAGGTCCGAGTTTAGTGGAAAGGCCGTTACACGTGATAAGGGTTGTTGCCCAGGAAGATACGAATAAATCCGTAAGAAACAAGAGTCTCAAAACTTGTGGAGTCCTTGGAACAGTAGTAGTCCTATCAAACAAGAAGTTGACTATGAATAGGACTCCTAGAAGATTTTGAAGTCCAAGCATTTAAATACTGTATATTTTGGACTTCTAAGACTATTCTTTCACACACAACTGAAGAACTACATTTTGTACATTGTAGTCGAGTACCGGTGTTGTGTTCTTTTTGAGTCAGTCTAGTGAATGTGTATTTAGGAAATTGAGTTGTAATCAAAGTGTTACAAACAATTAGTGAGTTGGAGTAAATATTTGTTTTACAAGTTAAAGTAACTTGTAAATCAAATAGTCGTAGTAGGAGTACTGAAGAGTATTGAATTACAGTCTTGTAATTGATACATTTTGGCTCATTGTTCTAGTGGAGTTGAAGTTGAAAATCCTACCCAGTAGATCGTGGTTTTTGCACCTTTTGAGCCAGGTGAGTTTTCACATAAAAATTATTGTGTTTACTTTACTGCTTATTTTACTTCACGTTTAAGGAAAGCGGTAAAACTCTATTTTAAAAGGCAGAATTGAAACTCGCCCGGGGCTCACCCTGGGACTGAGCACTCGTAAAACGCCCATGGGCTTATGTGTGGGGCTTAGTTCCGTGAGACTTACGCCTCAACCATTGGGGCTTACACCACATCCCGGACACGCCCAACGCCCACTGTACTGGGCTAGCCTAGTAGAACTTTATGCAATTGTATGTAACTAATCTTGTAAATCCTCAAATTTTCTTAATAAATCGTTGACTATCCAATACTTTTTTCCTAATTATAAATCATTAAGTTTAGAGTATTTATGTCATAATTAAAGCAAAAATTATTGCACGTTATCCACAAAGACTACTATGATAGTTAATTTTAAATAAAACTTTCATTTAAAAAGTATTTATTTATTAACTTTCGTATGTCTTTAATATATAATAGTCCATAATTTTTTTATAATTATTTTTGTAAATATTATTTTTTTCATGTTTATGAGATACAATACTTATTAATTTAATAGGCCAGTATTAGCAACTATTTACAAATAATTAGTTATCGTGGTATTGTATGGTGAATTATGTGTCCCTTTATGAACTTGTTGAAATTTAAAAATGAACGATGCTTGAGAATCACATTTAAATTGTGAATTATGTTTTTATATAAATTCTCTTTCAAATACAAAGCATATTAAATAGAAGGAGTATTTAAGAAAAATATCAAATTATAATATCGAAATTCTTTCAGGATTCATTACTCCTTAAGAGATACATATAAGATTTCGTATCGAATACATTACTTTTGATGTTTGAGTTGTAACGACGTTGCAGCTAATTTGCATATTATGATATATGTCATACTTTTCGTATTATTCATAGTTGAATTATAATTTATAAATATTTTAAATAGATTATTTGTTATAATTTTGTGATTTAACGTAATTTTTATAATTATTTTTTATTTTATACTATCTTAAAATTCTTGAAATTAGGAAAATTTAAAGATTCGTGGGACTTACGCCCCATGTCTCAGGGCTTACGCCTCGCCTCGTCAGAGGTAAAACGCCTCGCCTCACGCCCCTGCCTTTTAAAACATTGCGATAAAGAACCAAGTTCTTTAGTAAATAATACGGACACTCAAACTAACAAAGAGTTAGTGACTGTTTCCACCGCTTGAACCTGTGACCTTTAGGTCATACGGAGATAACTTCACTGTTGCTCCAAATCTCCCCTTCTTTAATAAAAAATACTAAAAAGTTTATCCTCGACTATACTATATGGAAACATATACTAATGAAAACTAATAGGATCTTTATCCTCTACTATATGTACTTTGAACACATTCATCCAATCAATTTAGAAAATTTCTCTATTCCTTTTATTTTTCTGCTAATATATATTAATTAATAATGTATGTAATACTTCCCNTGTCTTAGCTTAGATCTCTTTGTCAGCCTTTTTAGTAGCTACTCATGTGAAAGAATGAGATACTAGTCCTATTTTTAGCTGTCCACTTTAAAATATAATAAATATAATATTCTTTAACATCTAATATCCACAAATAGACATTTTTATTACATCTAGTATTTTCAATCTTTCATCATAATTGGAAATTTATTTTCTCATGTACTTAGTTTCATTAGAATAATCATACAAATAAATTTTATATAAATGCTACTCCAAAAATCAAACAACTTTTTCTTTGACTATAGTTCCTTTTTTGATTTTTACTTATAAAAAGCAAATGCATAGCCAAAATTTCAAGTTTGTGAATTCGAAATTTTAATTCTTTTAAGTTATTGGGTTCTGCAATAAAAATTTATACATAATCAATGAATTTTTAAAGATAAATACAAAGTTTGAACCAAAACTACCGGATTAAATCGAACCTGCAACGGACACTCATGCTCCGCCCATGATAAAAAGTTGTGATCATACGTGTAAATCAGTAAATATGTTACTTCTATTTCAATCAACTTAACAATTAATTTAAGATTTCATACCAAAGACTAGATGCGTTTACTTTCGTATGTTGAAACAAGTCACCCTACAACGCGAGAGGGTATAAATTTATGAATTCAAGATTTAGTCCTTTTATTTACTGAATTTTAAATTTATATATTGTAGATGTTCAATGAAGTTTTTAAAATAAATACATAGTTCAAATCAAGGTTAATGAATTCAATCAAACTCGTAACCTAAATTCTAATTCCACCCGTGCTTATAATATTTAATTGTAAAAATTGTGTGGGGCGCCCTATTTGGTCGCGGGATAATTTTACATAAATACAACTCGCACGTCTGATTTGCAACATAATAGCCCAGTTATAAATTTACAAATCTGTAGCCCAAAAATAGTCGGCTAATATTTGTAAAAAGAGTATTTTTTAGATTTTTTATTCGGCAACGGAGTTTAATCAGGATAATTATCTTATTTAGATGAAGTCATGAGATTTTCTAGTTCTTCTGTCGTATAATTTCTCTCCCAATTTGTCTTTACTGCTGCAAGTTGTCCCCCAATTTTTCGTTGATTCTACTTATATTGTAAAATTTAGAAACAATTGCTGCAAGTTCGTGATTTGGCTAAGAATCAACAAGAAAAGTAGATTTATACATGAATTATTCCAAAAAAAGGAAGAAAACATGAAAAAAAAATTAATTTGATTATACATACATGTATATGGAATGTACATGTATGTACATGTATATGGAATGTATATCAAAAGAATAAGAG